TAAGGCTTCCTTGGACAGCCACTTTGCTTTCCTGCATTTCCTTTTCTTTGGGATGGTTTTTGTTGCTGCCTCCTGTACAATTTTACGAGCCTCCATCCATAGTTCTTCAGGCACTCTGTTCACCAAATATAGTTCCTTAAATCTGTTCTTCACTTCCATTGTGTATTCATAAGAGATTTGGTTTAGATTATACCTGACTAGCCCAGTGGTTTTTCCTACTCTCCTCAGTTTAAGCTTGAATTTTGCTATGAAAAGCTGATGATCAGAGCCACAATCAGCTCCAGGTCTTGTTTTTGCTGACTGTATAGAGCTTCTCTTGGCTGCAGAGAACATAATCAATCTGATTTCGGTATTGCCCATCTGGTGATGTCCATGTGTAGAGTCGCCTCTTGTGTTGTTGGAAAAGAGTGTTTGTGATGATTAGTTTGTTCTCTTGACAAAACTCTATTAGGCTTTGCCCTGCTTTGTTTTGAATTCTAAGACAAACTTATCTGTTGTTTCTTTTCTCTCTTGACTCCGTGTTTTAGCATCCCAGTCCCCTAGAATGAGAAGAACATCTTTCTTTGGTGTCAGTTCTAGAAGGTGTTGTAAGTCTTCATAGAATTGGTCAATCTGAGCCTCTTCCACATCCATGGCTGGTGCATAAACCTGGATTACTGTGATGTTGAAAGGTCTGCCTTGGATTCGTATTGAAATAATTCTATAATTTTTTAGGTTATATCACAGTACAGCTTTTCCCACTCTTTTGTTGACTATGAGGGCTACTCAATTTCTTCTACATAATTCTTGCCCACAATAGTAGATATGATAATCATCTGAATTGAATTTGCCCATTCACGTCTATTTTAGTTCACTGACGTCCAGGATGTCAATGTTTATTCTTGCAATTTAAAGGGGGCTTTGGTAGGCTGACCTTAAGAAATATAAGTTTTTCTACAGATTCAGGTTCTAGGCATGAGTGGTGTGGACCGACAATGTCCCTTGACTGGGAGAACATCCTCTCACTGGACATATTGGTTTGTGGACAAGACAGCAGTCCTTTTGCCCCCTTGACCAGACCTCCCCAAACACATCCAGCTAATAGATCTTACATTCCAGGTTCCTATGCAGTATTTTTCTTGGTACCATCGGACTTTCCTTTCACTTCCAGGCACGTCCAGAACTGAGTGTCCTTTCGGCTTTGGCCCAACCACTTCATTAGCTCTGGAGCTAATTGTACTTGTCCTCCACTCTTCCTCAGTAGCCACCCAGCTAATAGATCTTACATTCCAGGTTCCTATGCAGTATTTTTCTTGGTACCATCGGACTTTCCTTTCACTTCCAGGCACGTCCAGAACTGAGTGTCCTTTCGGCTTTGGCCCAACCACTTCATTAGCTCTGGAGCTAATTGTACTTGTCCTCCACTCTTCCTCAGTAGCATGTTGGACGCCTTCCAATCTGAGAGGCTCATCTTCCAGCGACATATCATTTAACCTTTTGTTTCTGTTCATGGAGTTTTCTTGGTAAAGATACTGGAGTGGCTTGCCAGTTCCTGCTCCAGGTGGATCACGTTTAGTCAGAACTTTCCACTATGACCTGTCCGTCTTGGGTGTCCCTGCACTGCATAGCCCATAGCTTCTCTGAATTACTCAAGCCCCTTTGCCATGACAAAGCAGCAATCCATGAAAGCGCAAAATCTTATACACTTGACAAGTACAGTGGTTCTTAACCTTTGTTACTCGGAAGCTTTTGAACTGCAACTCCCAGAAACCCCAGTCAGGACAGCTGGTGGTGAAGGCTTCTGGGAGTTGCAGTCCAAAACTCCTGACCAAAGTTAAGAACCAGTGGCCTAGTATACCCCAAATGGGCCCAAAGCTAGTATAGTATTTCTCTGTTGATTTATAACATATTAATCTATGAATCTTCTAATTCTATATTTTATTCCTAATCTTAAATATACAATGAGATGTAAAAAATGCAATGTAACTTGAGGGTTCAGAAAAGGACAAAGAAAGCTGCTGCAGTGCAGGTTTGGACCACAGCACATACTAACAGCAAATGCTCAAGGATTCATAAACAGCTACGCTGACCTTTCAATGGGAAGGAACCTATGTGAAAGCATACGTTTTGTGGATACCTCAGTGGTGCAGACAGGCATGATTTACAAATTTTGCTCTCACTCCAGCCTCTCTCCTTTGAGAAACCCATGGCAACTCCAATCAGGAGACATTAAGTTCTCCACCCCACTACCCTTGGTGCCAGATTTTCTTTAAATTTTATTTTTCACAAGAAATCACTCTAGGATGTCTGATAAATTGGTTTCACTTTCACTTCTTCCTCCAACAAACAGACATTTAGCCATTGCTAGATGTGCTTCTTGTTTCAGTCACGACACTCCTTCTTGTAATGCATTGTACCTACATCAGTTATTTGTCACAAACCACAAGTGAGGCAAGAACTATTTAATTTCAATAAAATTCATTCTGAAAACAACATAAATATATAAATGACTGAATTTCTACCTGAGTCACAATAAAGTCTCATAAAGTTTTTGTTAAACTGACTAGAGCTTCCTTCTGAGTGAACAAATTTAGGTTCTGGATAAGGAAATCAAGTTTCTCCCCTACACTACACCAAGGTGTTTGGATAATTCAGTTCATGGTACAATTACATACAGGTCTACTCAGAAGTAAGTCCCACTGAGATAAGTGAGACGTATTACCACATGGGCATGCACAGCATTAAAACCTCAACCATATAGTAACGCTGCAAGAGTAAACACCATGCATGGATTATATCAAAGCATTCTGTCACCCACCTAATTCTAATTCCTTCCCATTGACCACTAAGTGTGAGGTGAAAAATATTAACTCCTAACAGATAAATATCTATCAACCATGTCCTCCTGCAATACTGTAGAAAGGAATTAAAGAATGTGTGTTTGAAATAGAACTGTTTGTTTGTTGTTTTTAACTTAGTAAAAGACATTTAGTTTAGAGTATAAAATTCTCTGTGACAATATTCTATAATAACATAAATTCTAACATTGCTTTAGAACTGCATTCACATAATGAGAAATTTCCTGAAAAGCCTTTTCTTATTTCTATTATAATCTCATTACAATGCCGTATCAAAGTGATATGCTGTGGGAGAATCTGGTCCATTCTGACTGTCTAATGACATATTTCCAGATCACATGCAACTAACAAACAGATCGTGCATTCTTTATGCTATAATTTCAAGAGAGGTATGTAGGAAGCACACAGGAATAACATTTCCATCAACTCAATATATTCAGGTTTTTTTATGAATATATTTAACTTTCTATTTTTAACACTTAACCATCTCTAGAACAGTTTTTCAGGTTTTAAAAAAGTTACTACTATCCAACTGTCTCTTCCAGATTTTGAATATCCTTCACCAAAACTAAGCAAAAAGTAAAGAACTCTGCCAATAAAGATCATTCTCATTTCAACAAACTAAAGCAATTTTCACTTTATACAGTAGTTACTATATAATCTCTTGTGAAGCAAAGGTTGTTCCATATTGGTTACGAAGATTTTAACTATTTTTACACTGAGGTGATGTCAATGGTTTTATAGTTGCATCTTTTTAATTTGCTTCTTTTGTGTTTGTTTGTTTTATAGTGTAAAGGCAGAGTAAGAGTATAAATAATATTATTTTTCCTGAAAATTGTCTTTACAGCATGATCCTACACATGCTTACTCAGAGGTCCTACAATATTCAACAGATTTTATTTCCCATAAGGATGAATAAGGTTGTGACTTTATTTACTTGTCACTCACAAAGAAGAACCCACAGTTTTTACTATTTTTTATTAGAGACAATTAGAGTCACAACATTTCATCATTTTTGCAAAACTTTAAAATGCATGCTAACAGTTGTGCATTCACCACAGCTACACAAACCTGCAGTGGTCTGTGTATTAGTATTTAACAACCAGTCTGCAGTGCTGAGCAGAGTCATGTCACCTAAAGAAAAATTGCAAGAAAATAAAATGCAAGTAGTTTTTTTTTATGAAAGATTTAAAATTACACATTCAAAAATGTCCAACAGAAGAACTATATCCTCTTTAAAAATTAATATTAAGAGACAATACTTCAGGGTCTAATGCTAGGTACACGGGATTGTTACATTGAAATCAGTATGACAACTTTCATGTAAATTTGTTTTGGAGCAGAGGCAGGTTCTGGATTTCATTAGGATGAGTAAGTATATTTACATTTTAAGTTGAAAATCAGAAGTTAATAGTTTAATGGCCAATAACAGATCCAAATGTATTAATAGATCTACGTCTAATTTACACACACACAGCAGCACAGTCCTCATCATGCATATTTGGAAACAAGCTTCAGAGGGGCCTGTTTTCAGTTAAGTGTGAATAGGGGTGCAAATTTAATCAGATTAACTTGATCTATCCTTATCTGTGTACAGATTTAATTTTATAGGAACTACGTATATCTATGCTTATTTTAATCTGTTATATGCTGTCAAGTCCCTTCCAGTTTATGGTAATCCTATGAATTAATTACCTCCAAAAGGTCCTATCATGAGGAACACTGCTCAAATCTTCCTAATAAAGGCTCTGACTAAACCAACCAATGAACAAATCCTAAATAAGCTATATGAGCATACGTGACTAAGAGTACAAACATGGTCCCCATTAAATTCAGTGGAGTGATAGCTAAAATTGCTTAAGATTACTCTAGATGCTATTCCAAGAAGTCTTCAGTTATAGTTCATAGCAGAGACTTTTAGATAAAGAGCATGGAAAGGTAGATTAACAGAAATCAGTATGTTATGTTTCTCTCGGAAGCATATAATCCACATTTAGGTTTCACAAAGCCCTTTAAAGCTAGCTTTATGCCTTTTGTTCGCAACATACTGTATAATGCTTTCCAATGAAACACTGGAGAAATGGCTAATATGTAAACAATTTTTAAACAAAGCTAAATGGATGTGTTCAAGACTTCAAGATTCTTCAGTACTCTTTCCTTTGGACCCCCTTATCAATACAGTTCTGCTGTGATTTTTCTGCTTATTCCATGCACACCTGGAGGACATTCAACATATTTTTCACATTTCAGCCCACAGCACTGCATATCTATACCTATACTTATACCTATCTTGAATTTTGAAATGATAATCTTTAAGATCTTTTACCATAGATGACTCTTCTGAAATATACAGGCATTGTATTTAAGGTCAACAATACAGTCATCCACATGTCTTCATTTGCATACATCTCATCCTTCATTATTTTACTTACTGAACAACATATAACTGAAGTTTAGGATAAAACAAGCAAACATTGGGTAATGAAAACACTGTACTGTAATTGCTAAAATCAAGCTTCTATATTACTATAAATTATATCCACAATTAACCATTATGGTTGGTTTTTAACATGATGCTGTTATTAGGATGCAATTCTGATACACAGTCATTTATAAGTACAGTAAGTGTGGCTTACTTCTGGCTAGACATGTGTGGAATTGCAGTGTAAATGTAGAAATCTAGACATCAGCAGAATTGTGTCTAATTAGACAGTTATTTCACATGTAATAGAAACTAAGATCTGCTTCTTTGTGATGGATGTTAGCATTTCAGACAGCAGATCAAAGCATCTCCATATCAGCAACCAAATCCTCACAAGGGTCATGTTGCTGAAAATATTTTTAGCAGAATGCCATTGGATCTCCATTTTGGTACTGAGAGTTTGGCTCTAACAATTGTGCTAGTTCAAGGGTCAAACCATCATTGAGGAAATGGGTTGGTTATTATAATTAAACTCATATGATAATCTTTGCTCCAGATACAAAACTAGTCAGCCCCTACCTTCAGCCAAAGGTGATACAGCCCAGACACGTTTGCCATCTTAGTAAAAAGTTTGGCCTACCAAAAAAATAATATCATGCAGTAAGTATATATAAAGACAAACAAGAACTCACCTTCTGTGCCATTTGGAGTCATGGAATTGCTATTTATCTGAGAGTTATCAAGTTTGGGGCCATTAGGAGATTCACTACTACCACTGAGACGGCTATGTGGGCTGGCTAGATCCTGCATTTCCATAGACCTGTGGTTGGAAGAAAAAAAGTAGCAAAAATGATCAAATTTGCAAAGTTTAATGGTACAAAATATTTGATACTTCATTCACTGATACTTCCTTTATATAGCATGTTTTAGGACAAACTTAAAAATGCTTCCCAAAAATCAAATAACACTATTTGCACATAATTTACCACTCAATTCAATTTAATGAGCCTCCAAACCAAATAAAACATTTCAAGCAATAGTTGAACCAATAGTCTCCTGACATGGAATGAAATATTCCTGATGCATGTGTTTACTCTGGCAAACTACTTAATTGTTCCTCTGTTTCTGCTGAAACAAATGCAGCATTAAAACATTATTATGTCTGCTCTCTTGTTTGCTTTGTGGATTACATAAAGTGTGCCCAATTGAAAAAGGATAAGCCCAATCCATGATGAATCTACACAGCATCATTGTGCCTTAGCACTCTGCAGCACTTGTAGTACCACTAAAACAGCATGAAACAAGAACTGAAAATAGGTGCAAAATTTGCACATATTTTATGGAGTATATTTCTTCTATTTATTTGTATCTATTGTATCTGTTAACTACACTGAAACAAAATGCTAAGATACCTCATAGCAGTAATTATTTTTGTAAATTCAATCTCCATTTTCTTTTTTATGACCAGAACACAGTCATTAGATAGATAACAAGCACTATTCAAATCACTTACATTAGAATAAGTGGATTTTCACAAAAATAAATAAGCCCAAGTTTCCAAAATGCCAATGACTTTTGCTATCTTCATAATTTCAGTGAAATATTATCATCAGTTTATATTTATCAGATGTTTCTCACAGTAGCTGAAGTACAGATGCAAACTTGTGCACACATGCTTCAGTGTTAATCCCATTGAACTCAGTGGAGATTACTACCAAGTAAACAGAGGGAATTTCACTGCTCAAATGAATACATATTTTATCTTCTAGAGTTATACTGCATTCCTCCTGTAAATCTGCTTGCTATTGATGCTTATTTTAAATTTTTTGCTTGGAAATTTCCACTTTATTTAAAAATTGTGTTTTCTTCAAATTCAAGCAATATTAAAATGTTAAAATACACCAAAGTATACACGTGAAGTATGAACACTTCCATAGACAGAATCTTCTATATATTTTAACTTCTTCCACAGTGCACATCAGCATTTCTACATAAAGTACTGAAATAATATTCACCAGATTAAAATAAGCAAAAAACCAAAACTCATTCTCATGCCTATGCCATTAAGTTTTAAAAATCTTTCATCTAAGAAGCTGAAAGGCCAGCCTCATATTATCCTTACCTGCAAATGGATGAAACAGCAACATCTGAACTGGTTTGGAATTCTTGCACCTGCAAACCAGGGACACAAATAGAAGATTCTGTTATTCTCTGTTCATGTCAGGTCTTAATCTGACTAAACAAAGAAATCTTCCTAGGGATGGTAATGCTGTCTTTTAACTAAAAGAGAAGGAAGGGGGGCACTGCTACAGTGAAAGACATATTGTCTTTAAATTGAAGCCTCAACTGTTGTTTCCTCCAGCAGGTCTATTCCCCCCCCCTCCTGCCCATGTCATGGGGAAGGCAGCCAAATGACGGGATAGTGATTCATCACTTGCCTATGACAGCTGCACACTGGATTACCCCTCCCCCAATCAACAGGCAAAGCAGACTTGCTAAGGTAGTTTAGGGGAAAGTGCCCTGGTAAGGTAGCGATTAATAAAGCAAGCATATATCTAAGGACAGAAGTTCTAACAGTATTCCCCACCAACCTCTGAAGGTCTTTCAGCCTTTCTTATCACTGGCTGAAGCACAGCTCCCTCCCACTCCTTAACTCTTGACAGTCTCTTATCCTTATCACATTAGTTTCTATGTCCCCACCCCCCATCACCACCATCCCCTCTCTCATGTATGTCTCCAAGCCTAGCTTCCAGCAAGCATTAAAGGATTGTAGGTAGTATTACTACCATTGTAAACTAACCCTGAAGTAAAGTACAGTATCACAACTCTATAAACTGAGAAGTTACTGCATGTCTAACTAGGCCAAAGATTTCCCTTCCACCTCTCTGCTCCTCCTCCTTCAATATGTTAAACTGCAAAAAACTATATATGCTTCTGAATGACCAAATATGGAAAACCATATTTGTTTTAAAACATGCGCAGCAAAGAATGTATTACTAAAATGAACACTGTCATCATTAACCACTCTTATGTATTCTCAATGAATATGGAGACTTTGGGGGAATTACTTTTTTAAGACCAAACCTTCTTTGCTTTTATGGCATTGTTGCTTATTACTAAAGGATGCGTTGTTAGGTTGTATTTAATGAAGAGCCTTTGATACAGAATTCCCTCCAAAGTTCCTAACAACTTCTAGCAGGTGGTAAAGCTCAGGTGAAGATCGGCTGCTGGCTTGAAAGCACAAACAAAACTTCCCAGCTATGACATATATTGTTTAAACGTCTGACTTCCACCCAACCTGAACTGACATCTCTTAGATGATCACAGAACAAAGACAAGAGAGATGAGACATTTTAAGTGCCATAAAAGTCATCCAGCCAAATCTCACTTATGTGTCTGTAGTTTTTGTTATTTTTAATCACAGACAGAATTACTGCTTTAGCAAGAGTACACCACTCCTATAAGCAGGCAGACAAAATATAATGTTACACATTATGGCGGGAAGCATGCACTAGCACAGATAGAAAAATTGAAACTTTTTGCATTCTAGCAGTATTTAAAATGCTTCACCGTGTGTTTTTTAATAGACCATAGCAAGCCAAATCAAGTTGGAGTATCAGATGGATGTTTCTAAGAGCTAAGTCATATTTTTAAAGAAGGAAGAGAAAAAAGACTCAAGTGTAAAATGGAAACTTTTTACTCTTAATGCAAGACAGTGCAATAGAATGCCTTTAGGATATGTTCTCTCCTGCTACTCCAATACACCTTGAATAAATTAAAGCATACTTTAAGTAAACAAAGCATACTTAACAGCTATCTCTTGGAGGACCATTTAAAAGCAATCATTTTTAATTAAATTGCTAATAATATTTATTTATGTCATATTTTTAAGAGGTTATATCCACTTATAGCTTACAATTTATTAGTTCTTTTAAAAGTGGTCATTACTGATAAAATATCTCACTACTGCCATCTCTTTAAAACCTGGAACTTATATTTACATATAAGATACCATATTTGCATATATTTTTAATATGCTATTGGCTGTGAGAATGCATATCCAAGACCTTCATGTTCATTAGTCATACTACAGTTACAGCCATTTGCCTAGTAAGGATTATTTAAAACATGTGTTGTGTGTTATGCTATTTAAAAATGATTCTTTAATCAAAATAACTTTAAAACTACTAATCCTTACTTAGTTTGGTCAAGTGAATCCACATAGTGGTATAGAAAAAATAAATACAAACAGCAATTAGACACACATGTTGGTGAAATTAGTTACAGTTTACAAAATGCTACACTTCACATGCTTTGGGGTTTTTTTTTAAATCAAGACTTCAAAATGTTACAATGTAATAAGTAGCTGCAGTTACAAGGGCCAATTTATAGAAAACAGCACTGTTGCAACTACTTATAAAACTATAATTTGTTGATATGGATTATTATGTAACAGACTCTTACAAATAGGTGGTATTCAAAAATACAGATTTATAGCTCATGGGTTATTCATTTTATTTATTTAAAATATTTCTATTCCACCCGATATTCAGTGTGGAATACAACAATTAAACAATATAAAACAGTTAAATATTTTAAAAACACTGAAAAATGTTATTCCACAAGGCAGAATATTGCAAAAATTAACAGAATCTACTCAAGAACTGAAATTTTAGAAATAGGGGACAGGATTGCTATATGCCATGACATTTGACCAACAGCCTTTTAAATGGCAAGTTTTCCCTTCCAAGAGAGAAGAGACATAAACACTTCATCACTTGGAGCGTGACTGTATACTAATCAAGCGTTAAGCTTAATATAGATCATATATATTGCCTCTCTGTATTCAGTGCAATGAAAAAGAAAAGATGATGATGGTAAAGCTACTAGCATCTTAGCACTAAAATGATATTTAAGTAATCTTAAAGCAGCAAAATCAATTTATGACTAGTTAATGAAATATTCTAAGTTTCCGTTTTTCTAATTAAATTCATAATTCTTCACAGATGTAGGTTTTGTTCATGTTCAATTTGTCTCTCTCATTTTGCTAAACCTCACATAGTATTCCACCAATCCACTGAATAGCCACATTAAATCTGTTAATACCATGCTCTTCAACCCCAGAAATTATTTCCAGAAGGCAAACCTACTTTGAGACATCATCAAACAAGACTTAAGGTACACATTTTATCACATTTTCCCTACCACAGAGCTCAAGATGCAGGCAAAAGCGCATGACTTTTGCTCTGTTTATTATACTTTGGTAAATTACAAATCAAAAGCATCTGACAGAAAATCATGTATGAAGCCAAAAAGTTAATAATGTTCTGTGAAAAGTAAACTGTAAATGGGAAAGGATTCTAGATCACACCAGCACAGATCAAATAAATGTAGGTACTTGTCTAACATATTCATTTTTCAGGCTTCTAAAAATTCACTTGCTAGAAGCAATTCTTATAAAATGCCTGTACTTAAAAAATATTTCTTCCAGTTGGAAGGAAATTTTGAAGGTAAAAAAAAAATTATGCCTAGTGAAATAAATATCTCATATGTCAGTTTGTCAGTTATTACCTAAACCAGAAATATTAAAGAGAATGTCAACATTCTAATTGTACACATTTTATTCAGAAAGCTCATCTTATTTTGAACGAAGTTAAATTCCTTGACTTGGGCTAGTCATTGATTTTGAAATGAAAAAGAGAGGGAAACCACAATTCATTGTCAATATATCAAATTCTGTTGTGTTCAATATATGCCATTTCGAATTCAAAAGTACTTTAACATTTGTATAGCATATTGTTAAAACTGGAATTAATTAGTATGGTGCGTTCCCCCATTCCAAACTGAACACCATTATCATCTGCCTATTAATCAACTCTCCAACATTTTGGCAAGTGACTGAAATGTAAAACAGAAGACAAGTGTCACTCTGTGAGAAGTCTTCAGAAACAACAAAACTGTAAGTGTTAGGGCAATGAAGGCAGTCATTCTCCCATCCCTAACAGTACAAAAGACGGTGTGAATGTGCCAATTATTGGAATCACTTTTAAAATTTATTATTAAACATCAAACAAAATGTAACAAAATTATTCCCTTAGATTTACACTTTGTGCATCCCTGCCACTAAAATAAAACAATGCCTTTTTAAAATCTGACACTTCTCAGGGATTTAACTTTCCTATAGCTAAAGGTATTATGCTAAGAGAAGACACTAACCCCAGAGTACGCCAAGATTACATTAATAAATGTGTTTTGTTTTATATAAACTCAATGCCAAGCAATTATGCAATCCATAATTCTCTCAAGATTTATGGGGGAGCAGAATCACAGAGGAATTTTTAACATATACATTCCAGCAAGTATGCCTAAGGCAGAAACCAAAAACAAAAGTCACATGTACATCCCCACAAATATTTTTACCATCTAGAAAATGATCTCTACAATTAGCTGTTTCAACTCTAATTTATTAGATGACAACTGGGATCCCATAAGACACGATCAAATGTTGATCTTATGTGGTAAACATTCCCCATCGCATAAACCTAAAATTTGTGAATGAACTTATTTTAACATGATCTGATGTTTGTGGGTTTTTTTTTTTAAATGACATTATAAAATAAATGAAGGAAAGAAACAAATATTGAACGCCTCTCATAACTCACAAGCATGATATAAAATATGGTTATACTTTAAAAAGAACTTGTTTACTATTTTTTTTCCTAAGGACTGAATTCTCAACAATACCTAACAATATATTATATTGTCAAGTAGTTATATTGTCATTTTGATAACTCCCACCTTGAAGGTTCAACAGAGGCTTGCTCGTATTTAAAGATATTTCCTAGGATTTCCTGTTTCAGAAGGAGCTGTCAAAATCTCCACCACACGTCCTTCCTCTAAATTTATTTGATTTTCTTTCCGATTTATGGCGTGCTTTTTTTAAAAAAAAAAAAATCCTAAGACTACAAATGTGCGTCTTTATGCTGTTTCTTATCGATTACCCATTAGAAATCAAACTTCAAGACATCAAACCCTGGTCAGAAACTGCATGCCATACAACTCATCCGATTCGTACGAAAGCGAGCCACGAAAGACAAGTAACATTAGCTGCGATAAATAAATAAATAAATAAATAAATAAATAAATAAATAAATAAATAAAAGGTGACGTCGACTATAAGGATAAGGGGAGGGCGAAAGAAACGTGCAGGAGATCTCAAGCTGGAAGACTACTAGGATCCTTGGGGGGGGGGGG